GAGAAGTAATGCATTAATCTTCTACTTCCATGATCCGTTTCCCTCAATCATTAGAATACAAGAAATACCAACAGTATAATAATTTCCTTAAGATTGTTGTTCATCTTGTATTCCTAAGATACTTAAAACAAAACTTTGAAGAACTTGGTAAGAAACAACAAAGTTTAATGATTATTTTTTTCAAAACTAGAAAATTAAAACTAGTAGAGAAAATAGAATCAGAAACAGATTAGAAACACTATACAAAATATTTTTCTCAAAGAAGAAAATTGAGCCCACTGAATGCACATTGTCCCCTTAAGGAAATTATTCCTCTCAAGTACCCGAGGTTAATGGAATATATCCTTCCAGGATAGAACGATCTTACTCACCGGTGTATCGGTACCTAAAACCATGGTATCAACGAACCACTCAACTACAATAAAGTACACTTAGAATACTAGATTTAGTAGTAGTGTCCAGAAATTTGTTTTTTTTTTTAAATGAGAGGAAATCTCTCAATTTATAGAAAATAAAGGGTAGCGTGAAAAGGGTCTTATTCTGCCTTACCGGAAAGGTCACAACCCTTTGGAAAAGTCACAATCTTTCGAAAAGGTCACAACCTTTCATAAAAGTCACAACTTTTCATAAAAGTCACAACTTTTCATAAAAGTCACAACTCTTCATAAAAGTCGCAAATTTTCAATAAAGTCACAATTATTCATAAAAGTCGCAACTCTTCATTTTTCATTCACACCTTTTAAACCAACAACCAAGGGTGGAGATCTCTCGCCTAGGCAACAAAGAAGTGAAAACAACAAAAGAAAAAAGAAGACACATGAAAGGCAACATAGTTGGAATGGTAAGGTGACTGAAGAATTTATTCCAAGACACCCACCGATGCATCTGGCAAAGCAATATGACAGTTTCAACAACAACAAGATCAAATAAATCCAAAAAGAAGTGATGAACTATCAAGTTTTGTTGGGCATACTTGACTAAGAAGACAAGATAGAAATACTTCAGATTACTTTACACAGGCTATCCATCTATTTTAATTCCTGCATATATAATGAAGTTAGAGATTGATAACTCAGTTTTATACTTAGATTTAATATTTTTGCATTACTTAAGTATCCTCATTTGTAGTATCATCACAGAGTGTATTACATACTCTATGATGATCATAAAAAAAAAAATCAGGCTAGCTCCTATTTTCTTCATGCTTGTTAATTGTAGTAGAGTTTCAGTACCTCATTAGGATTAGTTAGGTAAGGCTTAGCCCCCCTTGCTTGTACTTTTCTCCGTGAGGTTTTTTTCTCTTTATTAATAAAAATTAGCCCTAAGCACACTTTGCCTAATTGCGTAAAAAAATAGATTTTATTTCACGCTCACTCACTATTACACAATGCACACAAGTAAACTATTCGAATTTGGGGCTTTTCAGAGAGTAATGTCTCTATAAGTTTTGCTGTTGATAAATAAAAGGTGAGCAATGTCGCAAAAATCATTTATCGTGTAGTGTATCATACCTTATTCGAACCAACTTGATTATGATATTGTCGATTCATTCATGACACGTAAACTTATTTCTCAAAATATTGTAATTGATTTATATAATCATGACATTGTTAAGTAGTACTATGTATATTATTGTCAACAAGATACTTCCTTATAAGAAAAAAGAACAATTACATTTGATCCATAAAAACTAGAAGTGCAATCTAATCCTTATATATTGTATGTTGTCAAACAACATTTTCTACTCATCGCAAATACCTCTTTCTACCACAGCATCTTTGATAAGCTTTAGAGATTGTTCAAGATCGTCCAACAATTGATATGGATCAGGAATCACGCTTTCATCAACTGATAGAACAATAGTCATCTTGTCTATATAGCTTTGACAATTAATCATCAATGCCTGAAATATAAATGTGCACGTAAATTGTTAAGATATGTAAAATTAGCCCTTGAACCTAACTCGCACCCTGAAAACTAGCTCAAAGGGAGGACAATTTCTCAAGTCTTATAAGGAGTCCACTCATCTCATTAACCACTTACCTGAGGTTGTCCATAAGAACCGGGGGCAAGGTAAGCCATAGGGTGACCATAGAAGCCAATTTCTTCTTGAGGACCAGGCAAACATGAAAAGCACATTGATGTATTGGTGAAAATTCTGTGTGATATCGAACTTGATGTCTGAGAAAGGTTCAAATCTTACAAAGTTACAATGAAGAGATCACATATATATGTAGGATCAAGAAATTAGAATGAACATTAGTTACCTTAATCCCAAAAAATTTGAGTGCTAATTCTGAAATGTAACATGTATAGAAAGCTTCAAGTGAATTTTTCTTTCGATGAATAGTTGCCTTAGCTTCTCTGATATAATCTAAGGGATCATGTCGTAATGCAATTTTAAAGGGTAGAAGAGCAAATCCAACCCAATTTCCCCACTTTGCCTCAGTGTCTTTCTCCATCATGTCAGCTAAAGCCTATTTGTTAATTACAAGAATGTTAATAACTTCACTTGAAGTATAAAAGCTAAGAAAATTCAAGTGCTAGCTAACTAAAATTTAATGGATGTTGTTAATTAAGAAGTCACACATAGGAAAAGGGATGGGCAATTAGGTCTCTTTACATTGGCTTGGTCAATTCTTACCTTATGAGCTAACTTTTAAGGTTGACTTAGATCCAAGTGTCATATCTTTACATGGAATCAGAACCAGATTCATCCTCATTTGGATGTCCGATCCACAATCTAGTTGGGCATGGGCGTGAAGGGGGTGATAGAATGGTTAAAGTTCCACATTAGTTCATATAAGAAAACCATATCTGGCCATCCCTTTTCCAATGTGGGTCTTTTTAACACTCACCTGCACGCCCATACCTCGCTAATTGGAACATGGACAATATAATATGGGCATCCAACATCGATGATAAAGAATTGGAATGCATCTGGATCTGATACCATGTGAAATTAGGTCTTGGACCTAACTCACACGCCAAAAAAGCTAACTCATGAGTTAAGTATTGTCCAGATCCATATAAGTAGACCAACTGTCATCCCTTTTCTGATGTGGGACTTCTTAACAAATTTCATTACCTGTATTCCAACTGACGGTCTTAGATTCACAAGAATACTTGATCTAAGTCTGATGTTCTTCGGAAGATTATTGTTTTTCTCTATTGCTCCCTTGTCTTTCTTGCCCTCACCTGCAATAATATGTTTTTAGTATATATAATTTTTGTCATCTGATTTATCACCGGTAATGATTTGCAATTATTATCTTTCGCAGGATGCCTTGATTACTTTCGAACCAAACAAGCTGGTTCATCTAATATCTTTTTTTTTAAAACACAAGTTAAAGAAATAAACATCTAAAATAATAAAAGCTTAGAAGTCCAAATACATGAGACAGAAACTTACCATATCTTCTATTAAGATATACAGACAAACCAGCTTGTGTTACTCCCAAAGCAACATCAGTTACTGTCTGTACAAGAATTGACAAATGTCCAATAACAATTTAAAAATTGAACAAGAAAGATGTTGCGATAACATAGAATTAATTTTGTTTAAACTTACCATATTCAACGCATTTTTCACCAATTTCATATCGTCAAGACTTACTATCCTGTAAACAAGTCGTCTAGGATTGAACACAGAACCAGGTGTACCCTTAATCGGTGTAGTTGTATCCTTCAGGAACATAATTGTAGCCATAAACATCAACACATCCACTACTGTATTCCAAAACAATTTCATAAAAAACCAAATTTTCATAACATATCGACGTAATCCTTTTGTGGAATTATGCGCTGAAGAATGGATAACTCTCTTTTTATTTCCAGGAATAGTTGGAACTTTATCAGGATCAGCAGTTTGGCGAGTACACGCCAAGAGAAGGGAAATAAGAGAGGTGCCATCGCCAAGTGAATGGTGGATTCGGAAAATGCCAACAGACTCAGCGTCAGTTGTTTTGACGTTAAGGAGATGGAGATCCCACATAGGTTTTGATTTGTCAAGAGTGGTTTTGCTAAGATTCCGAATATAGTTTTCCACGAATTTTTCTGGTGATTCATGAAGGTTTTGTTCATCCACTTGTGGTACTATAATGTGTTTATCTAAGTCTACCTTTGTTTGTACCCATTTCATTTCTCCATTTTTTTTCTCATCCACCACCTACAATGAATGAAACATGTAGTTTAAGAAATGTATTCTCCCCTCATTTAAAACATAATGACTTAATTTAACTTGATACAGAGTTTAAGAATTAAAATGAAAAAGATTTTTTAATTTTGTGGTTTTAAATTTAAGTTATATCAAATGTACCAAAATATCTTTTAATCTTGTGGTATTAAATATGTTATGCGTAAAGCTAAAACTAAACTATTGTCAAAATACCAAAGGGGTCATAATTCTTTTTAAACGGAGAGAATAGTATTTAAGGCATATGAAGTTTTTTGGGGCTGTTTAATAATTCTCCTTCTTTTCTTTCGTTAACAAATTAAACTTACTAGAGAAAAGTACACTAGAGTTGCTTGTAAGTACTTGTAAATTAAATAGTTGTAATTTCAACTTCCTGCATGACACGTTTAAACGATAAGATTAATAAACATTTTGGTATATTTGATATATTTTTAATTTAATATCACACAGTTCAAAACTCTTGTTTACTTTTTTAAACTTCATGTCAAGTTAAACTAAGACAAACAAATTGAAAAAAAAGAAGAGTATTGAATAAAATAAAAAATCAAATTTTACTATAATAACTAAGAAATAAAAAATGCAGTCACCCCTATACTATTGGTTGTAGCTATTTTTTACCTGAAGGCTGGAGAAACGAGGATGCTTAAGCAAAGTATGAACCAAATTGTCTTTGATTAATTGAAGGTCATTGATTCTTGATTTGCTTCCCATAATAGCTAAAACATGTACGTTGAAGTTGGGTTCATGAAATAACCTTGACGACGGACTTAATTGTTCTTCTTCTTCAGATGCTTTACTAGCTTTACCCTTACATTCAATCGGTTTCAGACTCGGTTTTCTCTGTCTTATTGACTCCATTAATAATTAACTTGTTACTATTGATCTTATGGAAAATGAGTTCTTGTTGCTTCGTATACATAAAAGTTTGGATGCCAAAGTATATAGGTTTTAATTTTTGTTTATAGCTGAAAGTTGATAGTTGTGCAATTAATGGCAATTGCGTCAGGTCAACAAAAAACACTAATTATATATTGCTTTATTTGCCCAAAATCAATTTGTTTTTTTGTTCCAAGTGATCGATGAGAGAAATTTAACTGAAATCCTTTACAAATAGTAGTAGTGTACAAGCCAAATCGAATCAATAAATCAAGTCAAATCGAGAAAATATTGACTTGCATGTGCTTTGGTATAGTGTTGACAAATAAACCAATCACCCTTTGATTGATTTGGTATTAAAAGAGGGAAAAAAAGGTAAATCAAGCTCAAACCAAATTGACATAGTCATCAATATAATAAATGCGAGGAAGTTGCAATAGTTTTACAAATTGTGGGTTTTCATGGTTGAGGAAAGTATAATTTGATTTTAAACTATTGTTTGCAAAACTTACTTTCGAATAAATTTCAACTTTATCTCTAATTTACTGGTGAAATCAATAAGTTTAGATCATGATTTGCTAGTTCATATATATATGATCTTGAGCTTGTACGTGTTGAAATCGGCTAGTCATCATTTGAAGTTTTTTTTATCATCATTGAGTGCATGTAATATGTTGTTGAGAGTAGTCTTGTAATGACACGTGCATGTATATATATTTGAAGATTACGTAAAAATTATTGATCACAAAGATTGTCAATACAAAATATTTTAAAGCAATATAAAATAAATGGTGATAAGAAAAATACTTTTGATGCTTGAAATTCGAAAGATACCACATAAATAAATAAAAAACAATATATTTTATCTCCATTAGTATTGTATAAAGAACTCATAAACTACGTACAATATTGTAAAATATTTCAACGTGTTATGTCATAAATCTTGTGTGTGATTGACCATGCATGCAACGCCAAACTCAATCTGCCAACTGTTTCAGGCTTCAATTTTTTTTGTTGTGTCTCATGTGAGTTATCTCTAATTTTCAACTAAGTGATAGACTCAGTGTTACAAAAATAATACAATTTTCTTGTAAGATACTTGTATTGTATTTTCCTTATTTACCTGTTGTTCATGTCAAGTATTTATCAGTTGTTAATTGTTTGCTACAGATGTTAGTAGGGGTGTCCATGGTACAGTTCGGTCGGTTATTTTTTAAAAATTATACCATTTCAATTTTTTGGGTATTTTATAATATATAACCAAAATTAGACTTTTTAAAATCATTCCAGTCATATCGGTTTCTCTTCGGTATTGGTACGGTTTGGTTAATTTTGTGGTTTTTTTTACTTTTAAAATATCACCTCAAAATATACTACTATTAATATATTTCACAAATATGTACTTGAAGAAACACTTTAATTCTTCACCAAAAAGATAAGAATGTAAAACCTTGTTGTCGTATTGTTTGATCCTAAATGTTTAATAGAAGTGTTTGGATAGGTTTTGTTGTATTGTTTGATAGAGTATCTATTACAGTATCTTTTAATTTTCAACCTAATTAAGTGAAAGCTAAATAAAGAGCAAAGACTGAAAGTTGTCTGGTCACCAGAGGCCTAGGATCTAAGTTATATTTATATTTGAAAAATGTTATAAAATATATTTATATATTAAATTTAACAAACCTTGTTGTCGTATTGTTTGATCCTAAATGTTTAATAGAAGTGTTTGGATAGGTTTTGTTGTATTGTTTGATAGAGTATCTATTATAGTATCTTTTAATTTTAAACTTAACTAGGTAAATTGCCCGCGCTTCGCGCGGTTGTGAACTACGTCAATAATCTACTTTTGAACATTTGATAATATAAGTGTTTTCGAGTGGGTACAACCCTACGATAAATTGTCAAGAATATTTTATCCAAAGATGAAATGAAATGTTTTTTTAATCTTAAAACCAAAAAGATTCTAAGTGTTTATGCATTTTGTTATTAATTCTTCATTTAATTCATCACCAAAGTCTTTAGAAAAGATATGTAATTGTTTCATTGTCTATATTTGTATTTTCAAAAAGTGGTACAGACATTTTATTCATCAATTGCGATAGCTTTTCTCCTAATCAAGGCCTCTACATACATAATCTAAATATTATACATCTTATATAGTTTTTTTAATCTTAAAACCAAAAAGATTCTAAGTGTTTATGCATTTTGTTATTAATTCTTCATTTAATTCATCACCAAAGTCTTTAGAAAAGATATGTAATTGTTTCATTGTCTATATTTGTATTTTCAAAAAGTGGTACAGACATTTTATTCATCAATTGCGATAGCTTTTCTCCTAATCAAGGCCTCTACATACATAATCTAAATATTATACATCTTATATAATTAGTTGTGTACTTGATAAGTTAATTAAAATTTTAAAACATATCTCTTGGAGTTCAATGAAATAACGTATGTCGTTCAAATAATTTGGATTAAATGATGTCTTGGCAAGTCCCTTATTCAAAATCATTCGCAGCCGATGACACTATTTTGATAGCCAAAAGGCATATTTTGTTGTTTATGTTTCGATTAATATGGTTAAAACTTTATTTATTTTTGCGACTTTTAATCTAATATTTATAAGGAGATAATTATTTCTTTAATATTTGATTAATTTGGATTCATCCTACTTTGAGGGGTAATTCATTGACTCCAATCCAACATTTGAACCCCAAACTTTTGATTAAGGTTGAGTACAATACTTACCATATACTTACCATACCACTATATTCCTTTATTTTTTGGATGTCACTAATTGATTGAATGTCTCGATAAGATAGAAAGTTGAATAACTAAAACTCCAAGGTAGTGTGGAACCACCATAACTTCAAAACACTCAAAGTCCCTTCTTGGACATCCCATGGATCTTTTAGCCACTGAAATTCTATAAAGATCAAAGTCATTTATTTTACAAGTTTTCGAATTCTAATCTACATGACACCAATAGTCTAATGATTACATCAAACTCTTGATTAACATATCTTTACTTCAACATAATAATCAAAAGCATAAACATAAACAACAAATTTTAAAGCATGTACTAAAAAACAACAATTAATAATATAAGCATAAATTAATGACTGTAAAAAACATACCAGGATTTGTAACAATAGAATGAAACGGAAAGAAAAAAATCGAGATCCCTGAATGCACATTGTCCTCTTAAGGAAATTATTCCCCTCTAGTACATCAGGTTTGAAGGAATAGATCATCTCATGATAGAATGATTCTATTCACCAGTGTATTGATACAAAACCAATGGTGTCAGTGAGCCATTCCACAAAACTAAAGTACACGAATATTTAATTGTGCAGAAGAAGAAGAAGAAGTTCAGAATTTTCGTTGTTTTAAAATGAGAAGAAATCCCTCTATTTATAGACAACAAAGAGTAGTGTGAATAAATGTTTATTATGCCTTATCGGAAAGACCACAACTCTTTGGAAAAGTCACAACCTTTCTAAAAGTCATAACTTTTCATAAAAGTCGCAACTCTTCATAAAAGTTGCAACTCTTCATAAAAGTCGCAACTCTTTGTAAAAGTCACAACTTTTCATAAAAGTCACAAGTTTTCATGAAAGGGAAGACGAAATTTGGAAATAAATAAATTAAAAGGGAATCCTGATTTGTGATAGCGCCACATAGGCGGGCCTAGGGTTCTCTTATATATATATATATATATATAACATTTTTCAAATATAT